GTTGCGAGTTTGACACCCCTAGTTTAAAGAGAAGTATATTTTATAAAATTAAGTTTAACTGATAACACATAATTTCCATAATTTCTCTCAAAGATTCTGGACTCAGAACCAGGAAAGATGTTGTAATGTCAAGCTATTTTCTTCCCCACTACTGTAGAGAGAAAGAGAAGGATAAAAACTCTGCAAAAGTCTGCTAAAGTGCACAATTTCCAGATTGTTTTTGTAATTTAGCAAAATAAGAATACAAAAGAGATGTCTTCTTTGATTTCTATAATACAGTAAAATACAGTGAAAAATCACTACTAACATTGTTAAAAAATATTTTCCATAGAAAATATATAAGCCTCACCTTTTCTTCTTTCAGCCATTCACCCAGAGTCTTGACTGCCCTCCAGTGACTGTATTCATTGGTGTAGTCCAGCACCAGTAGGCCTGAAACCTGTGAAGAAAATGTGACTCTAAAACTGTTTTAAAACTGTTTTAAAATAACACTTGGCAGTAAAGGATTAATTCCAAGTCTGTTTTACTAAGGGCATGTTCTAGAGCAGGGGTCCCCAAACCTCCAAAACTGGGCCATCACCTGTTGGGAACCAGGCCGCGCAAGCGGCATGTGCACAAACAATGTTAAGTTAGTAACATAGTTGTTAAGTGAATCCGGCATCCCCATTGATTTTGCTTGTCCGAGGGTTGCATAAGTTGATCAAATGACCCAAGATACTGCAACTATTATAAATATATGCCAGTTGCCAAGTGTCAGAATTTTGATCATGTGACCATGGCGATGCTGCAATGGTCATAAGGGTGAAAGATGGCCATAAGTCATTTTTTCACGCTGTTGTGATTTTGAACAGTCACTAAATGAATGGTTGCAAGTCGAAGACTATTCATAATGCAGCCACCATTGGCACCACCAGGATTTTTTGTTTAAATAAAACAAGGGGTTTTTGAATGAAGTGTTGGGGGGGGGGTTGCTTACCTTGATGCCATCAGATTCCAAATATCTACTGAGGCCAATTTCATCTGAAGCAGCTGTGTCAGGGACACCACCATTTCCTATGATGGGATTGACCAGGGTGAGGATCTGCCCATGGTAGCTGGGGTCAGTCAGACTTTCAGTGTATCTGGATTTAGCACAATAGGAAATTATTTTTCTAGATTAAAATCTACACAAAATTAATAATCCCTGCCAGACTGCAAGACAGAATAGAAGAAATCAGATTAGGTGCTTTGTAGAACTGTTGATTTGGCTGGGAGTATTAACACGTTCTAAATTGGAGACAGGAAGTTAAATATTGACATTTTGGGCTATTAATTATGATAAATTGCCTGATGAAAGAAATTGTAGTCAATTAATTGTCTGTGAACAATATCTACCTAAAGATTTGAAGGGAAAAATTCCCATTCAGCCTGATACAACATTTTGTGTAAGTGATAGCTACTAAGAAATGTTCCCCTCCAATTCATGAGCTTCATTTTTATATGAATATATANAGAAGCACAAAGCTAAAAGCACAAGCCTGATGATGATGAATGTGATTTCATCGAAACGTCGCTATGATACTTCTAATCTTACACGGGAGAAAACCCGAATGACCAAAGACTCATATATATATATATATATATATATATATATATATATATATATATATATATATATATATATATATATATATATATATATATATATATAAAATCATAGTGCTCAAAAATGAAATATTCTTGGTGTCTTTGCAAATGCACCAGGATTCTTCAGGATGATTTACACAGGCTAAATAGAATTTATTTCATTGTTATTTAAATTAGATATAATTGAACTACTATATTATTTCTCAAATATCAGCAAGTTGCAAGAGGCATTTTTATGGAATGCAGACTTCCCTGTGAAAAGATGGATTGTTGCACCCAAGAAAACACTTTAACTAATCCAGACTGGTAGTGGGCTGATATCAACAATTAAATGTGTTAATCAATTAAGAGAAATGATGTGTCAGATTAAACAATTGGCATGAAATATGTCAGACTATGATTTTGTAATTTTTGTTATATGCAGATTTTGCCAATGACTAAAACAAATTAGGTCCTTAGTTTTAATGAATGATTTTTGTAACCATAGAGAGTTATAATAAAGTAATACTGTTGAAGTTAGTTGGACAGTTTTTAAGTACATAAATTATTATTGCACACCTAATCTTCTATTAAGTTTGAATGCTTTTTTTAGTAATTATAGCCATTGGGCCAAGAGTTACTGAAATAAAGGTATGTATACACAATTGCATTTCTACTTTCAGTCTGTTACTATATTTCAGAAAAGTATTTCAGTAAAGCAAAAATCATTACAGAATATCATATACCATTAAATTTGCTGAATTTTGTATCTCCCTGCCCTGATATGCTATGAAATCCATTATTTAAAAAAAATCATTAGATCTCTATATTTGCAGGGAAGATCAGCCTTTTTGCTAGTGCAGGCCCAAAAGATTGGATAAATATTTTCTGAGTATTTATAATCTGAAGAGAGCAGGGAAACACAATGTCTTAAAGCATTACAGCTTGTTCCCAAGCTTGTGGCTTGTAACCATATTGGCAAAATACTATTGGGAGACTTATCAGGCACAACTTACATATTCCTTAATAACTGCAGCCAGTTGCATAGTTGTTTAGAGTTATTTGAAATATATTGGTTTTAGCTTGCAGCCAACAAGGAAATCTCACAAGGAGAATTGACATATCTATTTGAATAAATGTGGTTTTATAATTTGTAGCTGGACCACATACCTCTCTATACTTCAGTTTCTATTTTCTTCCTAATGAGGATTGCTCTAGCCTTGGTATTAACACCCTGTCATGTGCAGCCACATTAGGTTTATCCTACATGACCCCAATAGATGTAATCCTCAACTTCCAATCACAACTGAGACAAAAAAAAATTCCATTGCTAAGCAAGGCAGTTGTAAAGTGAGTTGAGTTCAGTTTTATAGCCTTTTTTGTCTTTGCCAAGTGAATCACTGCAATTGTTAAGTGACTCATGTGGTCATTAAGCAAATCTGGCTTCCCCCATTGACTGTGCTTGTTGGAAGCTGGCTGAGAAGATCACAAATGGCCCCAGGATGCTGCAACCATTGTAAATACAGGCCAGTTGCCAAGCACCCAATTTTTGATCATGTGACTGTGGGGATGCTGCAACAGTCATAAGTGCTAAGACTAGACAACTAGATGCAAGGACAGTTTTTTCCCTGATGCCATCACTCTGCTAAACAACTAATTCCCACCACACTGTCTTATGCCCTGGGATGTCAAACCACCAAGTAGGGCTGTATTAAAATTATCCTTCTCATCTTTCTGATTACCTATTCCTTTAGCATCTTATGACTATAACTTTGTTGTTTATATCTTATAATTTATGTTGATTGCTTATTTAGTATCCTATGACTAGGGAGGACATGATAGCAGTATTCCAGTATTTGAGAGGTTGCCACAAAGAAGAGGGGGTCATGTTATTCACCAAAGCACCAGAGGGCAGGACAAGAAGCAATGGATGGAAACTACTCAAGGAGAGAAGCAACCTGGAATTAAGGAGAAACTTCCTAACAGTGAGGACAATTAACCAGTGGAACAGGTTGCCACCAGAAATTGTGGGTGCTTCATCACTGGAGGTTTTTAAGAACAGACTGGACAATCACCTTCTGAAATGGTATAGGATCTCCTGCTTAAGCAGGGGGCTGGACTAGAAGACCTCCAAGGTCCCTTCCAGCTCCATTCTGATTGATAGTTGTAACTCTGAATGATCACAAATGGTTATAAGTTGAGGACTACCTACAGTATAGCACAGCATTTATATTTTGCCAAGGATGCTTTTCAACAGCTCGTGCAAGCTCAGCTGGCCAACCTCCAAATTGGCAGGGTGTACTTTCTCATAATCTCTGGAACTCTGTTATTGATTCCTATGAGACGTATTCTGAATACAGTGAGTGGTTCATGAGAAGCTGCATGAAACTGAGATCCACTTTGGGGAGCAGAGGAGCAAATGCATTTGAAAACAAGCTCATGCATAGTTTGCAAACAACATTTCTGCCAATGAACCATCATCTTGAAGGGAAATTAATCCTTCAGGTACAACTTGGCAGTGGTGATGCAGCAAAATATATTACCCATCATCCATCATGGTAGAAAAATTAGTAGTGCTCTCCATCATTCTGATCTATATGAAATGGTTGTGAGCTGGCAGGACTAGTATTTAGCATATAAAAAAAACACAAATAATTATTTTCAGATGCAAAACCTTGCAACCAAATTTATGTACTTCAATGTAACTGCTACTGATCCCAGTGAGAGTACTGAAGGCTCTTTACAGTAAGTATATGGTGTGATGATTTCGCAGATAAGAAAGCAGAGTTTGTGCAGAATGGGGCAGTGATGCTTTAATTATCTTCCCAAAGTGATCAAATGGTCTGGGTTTCCTTAAGTTACAGTATTTTAAAAGTTCCGTTCCAGATGAAAGAACTCATCCATCATGTTAAATATTTTTAAAGCATAGGATAGATAGAAATAAGGAAACAGAAAAGCTGGCCAGGATTTGAACATACATCATTTAAAGGTGAAAGAAACCCTAAATATGTTTTGAATATGCTTTATTTATTTATTTATTTATTTATTTATTTATTTATTTATTTATTTATTTATTTATTTATTTATTATTTGTATCCCGGCTTTATTCTTACAAATATCTCAAAGTAGCAAACATAATCAAAACTTCTTCTTCCTCCTATTTTTCCTACAACACTCCTGTGAGGTGTTTTGGGCAGAGAGATAGTGACTGGCCTAAGTTTATCCAACTGGTTTTCATGGCTAAGGTAGGACTAGAACTCACAGCTTCTTGGTTTCTAGCCTGGAGCCTTAAACACTAGACCAAACTGGCTCTCAATTAATAAGTATCTCTCCTTGATTAACAAACATGATTAATGAGTATGATTGATTGATTGACTTAAAGTCATTTAAAGAGATAATTTTAAACCAGTTTTTCATATATATCGGTGGAATTGAAAGGGTGGTGGATAAAAGAATAAGATGTGTTAAAGGCCAAATTACATGTAACTGGCAAAACAAGTAGCAGAACCCTGCACTGAAGTCACATGAAGATGAAAGGAGGAAAAAAGTAGTAATTTTAAAATATAGAGATTTCTGCTGGGTTTTGAACCTATAACTGTCTACATATTACCCAAAGCTACTGTGCTGTTTTACCACTGATGATACAAAGGAAAGTCTTAGAACCTCTTAGATCAGAAGCAGTTTTCTGTCTGCAGAGTCAGCAACTAACTCTGGGGTTAGCCTGCAAGGAAGGACAGCATTCCGTGAGAAATGGTCAGGAGCACATAAGTTGACAATTGGAAATTATTTTCCAAGCATAGCAAGAAAACACATTTGGAGGTCAAATTTCAAGCACATGGAAGTGCGTAAAGGCTGACAGTGTCACTTCTGCATTGGAAAGATAGTTAGGGATCTTGTTCTGATGACAGGGCAACTAGGCAGTGTAATAAGACCTAAGGAGATTTACCCAATGTCCACCCTGTCTGGAAGAGTAGCTACGTTTTGCATTGCTTGCTCCCTTGCAAACAGTATACTGTAAAAGTATTCAATTTTTTTTAAATTAAATTAAATTCATTTAACTAAATCAGTTTTTGTTATAAATCCCTTTTTAGAATCAACTAAAAATGAATAAAACAAGGATGCACTAAATAGACCAAAGATACAAGTGGCAGAGAGCTGAAAAAATAGAAGGCACAGACAATAGTTCTGTATTGTTAGATAAAAGAGGGCAAGTGAAGGCAGGCAAGGGTGAACAGCCAAAGAGATGATAAATCAAGATCAAAATAGCTCACTAGGAATCCAGATGAAAAGCAATTAAATGGGCTAACCCTAATAACAGCATAGAAGTCTGGTGAAGAGCAGCAGGGGAGAGAATGTTTTTGAGCCTGACAAGAAAGGAGGGGGCTGCTTTACAGCAGCTAAATTAGGCAATCAGAAAAACCTGAATGAAGAGCTGTAAATGCTATGAAAAACATATTCCTTCCTCTTTTCTCCAGCTTTTTTTTTTTAAATTGAAGGATTGTTGAGCTGAAAAAAGGGGCTGGCAGCAACATTTTCAGTCAATTTCAGTCAAATATTTCTATCAACATCTCCCCCAATAGTCAGTGTAGAAGGACTGTGTAGCTTGATCTGTGGTAGGAAACAATAAGAAGGAATCTGGTAGCAACTTTTCTCATTAGAAATGTTATTAAAAGCCATGCCCTTTACTTTCACTTCACAAACATTTTTTTCTTTGGACTTTCCATTACTCAGCCTAAAAATATATTCTTAACCCTTTTGGTTAGTAAGACCCTTCTAAACCCTTTCAACTGCAGATGGTTTTTCATTTTGTTTAAAAAAACAACAACAGTAAACTTTGTTTTTAAATAGATTCATTGGCTGGATAGAAGACAGAAGATTATTCCAATTTTCTCTTTTATTTCTACCTTTAGAGCTTTTATCCATTCCCAACTCTTTTCTCACACACAAGAACATATTACATATATGCATGTATAATTATTTCCCCTGTGTTTATAGAGAGGAAAGGGGAAACTTAAATTTTTTAATATTGGTTTTAGGCTGTGAAGAGCTGCTGATGCAGATAATTTTTAAAAATCTGGAGTGGACTCCTTCTGGAAGATGTGGAAATATTGTCCTGGTTCAATCTTAAATCATGAGGTGATTTTTGTATTTGAATAACTTAACTGTACAACCATGTTTTAAAAATCTGCTGCAACATTACATGAGAAAATTATTATGTTTCTGAGCCTTGAATGCTGACTTTTAAAGCATGTTTATCTGTGTCAGAAATTAACTGAAAAAAATAGGACAACTTGTTAATTTTCATTAGGACACTGTCTGGGTTCAGGTGACACTGAATCACAAACTTATCAACTACATGTGTGAAGTACTTCTCTATAGTTAGTTACAATTCAAAGTGTGAGAACACAGAACATAGAATAATGGGGTCAGAAGGGAACTTGAAGGTCTTCTAGTCTAACCCCCTGCTCAAGCAGGAGACCCTATGCCATTTCACAAAAATGGTTATCTAATCTCTTGAAAAACTCCACTTATGGAGCACCCACAATTTCTGAAGGCAAGCCATTCCGCTGATTAATTGTTCTTAATGTCAAAAAATTTCTCCTTAATTCTAGATTGGATTTCTCTTTAATGAACTTCCACCCATTGCTTCTTGTCCTACCATCAAGAGCTTTGGAGCCCCTCAAGTATTGAAAGGCAGCTGTCATGTCACCCTTTAATCCTTCTCTTTATTAGACTAGACATGCCTAGTTCCCTCATTCGTTCATTGTACAGTTTAATCTCTAGAACCCTAATCACCTTTGAGATATTCTCTGCATTCTTTATCAGAGTCTCAGCATTTTTTTTTCCTATCATGGTAACCAGAACTGAATGCAGTACTCCATGTGTGGTCTTACCAGTGAGGTATAAAGTGGTACTATTACTTCACATATTTTGATACTATCCTTCTGTTGGTGTAGCCAACATTGGCTTTTTTAGCAGTTGCAACACACTGCTGCTTCATACTTAAGTGGTGGCCCACTAGGATGCCTAGATTCCTCTCACAGTCACTACTGTTGAGCCAGGTACCACCTATTTTATACCTTTGCATTTGGTTTTTCTTGCCTAAGTGTAAGACCATACATTTCTCACCACTGAATTGCAGGGCCCAGTGTTCAAGTCTGTCAAGATTCTTCTGTACTTTGGGTCTATCTTCTGAAATGTTGGCTATTTCCTCCAGCTTGGTGTGGTCCACAAATATGTTGATTTCCCCTTCTATCCACTCATCTAAATCATTTATGAAAATGTTGAAGAGAAACTGGGCCTGAAGACAGAGACCTGAGGTATTCCACTGCATGTTTCTCTCCATTAGTGGAGTGGCCATAGTTCCATTGAGGACTGCATATTGAGTGTGGTCAGCCGGTTGCAAATCCATTTGGTGGTGATGCTGTATATCCCACACTTTTCTATCTTACCAAGTAGTAGGCTGTGGTCTACTTTGTCAAATGCCTTACTGAAATCTAAGTAAACTATATTCATAGCATTTCCCTGATCCACTAATTTAGTCAGTGTGTCAAAGGAGGCAATAAGGTTTGTCTAGCATGATCTGTTTTTTAACAAACCCATGTTTACTTCTTATAATAGTTTTCTCTTATTCTTTTTTTGCCTATTTTGACTTGTATTCCTGTTCTATCATCTACACTACTGCTTTTGATAGCAATAGCAATAGCACTTAGACTTATATACCACTTCACAATGCTTTACAGCCCTCACTAAGCAGTTTACAGAGTCAGCATATTGCTCCCAACAATCTGGGTCCTCATTTTACCGACCTCGGGAGGATGGAAAGCTGAGTCAATCTTGAGCTGGTGAGATCAAACTGCTGAATTGCAGGCAGCCAGCAGTTAGTAAAAGTAGCCTGCAGTGCTACATTCTAACTACTGTGTCACTATGGCTCGGATTGGTCTATTTTTTCCTTTTGAGTAAAGACAGATGCAACAAATGAATTAAGTAATTCTGTTTTCCCCTGCTACCTGTCACCTCCTTGACATTTTCTCCCATTAGTGGAGCAGTGGTTTCCTTAACTTTTTTCTTGTTTTTCACATGTTGAAAGAAACTTTTTTGCATTTGTTGCAAGTTTTCATTCATTCTGAGCCTTAGCTTTCCTAACTTCATTCTTGCAGATTTGGGCTATTTGCTGGTATTCTGTTTTAATTATGTGTCCTTCTTTCTATTTTGTATACTTGTCCTTTCTAACTTTCAATTTATCAGAGATTTTTGTATGCAACCCTACTGTTTCATCTGGGGTCTCTTGCTTTTACTTTGTCAGTGGTATTATATTAGACTGAGCTTTTATAACCTCATTTTTCAGAGTTGCCCAACTTTATTATGTTGTTTTTCCCTTTAAGATTTCTATTCATGGAATCCTTCCTAAGTTCTCTCTAAGTTTGTTGAGGTCAGCTCTCATAAGCCCAAGACACTAATTTGACTTTGTTTGATTATTTGCCTGGATTATGTTGAATTCCAGTATGATATGGTCATTCTCCCCCAAAGTTCCTGCAACTTCAACCCCTTTATAATTTTATGCCTGTTGGTAGGAATTAAGTCCACTAGAGATGACTCTCTGGTTGTGTCACACTAAAAAAAAACAAGATTGAATAAACTTTTGTTAAATTAATAACAAATAAACATGTCATAGAGAAATAGCCTTTGTAGATAACTAGGAAGTAAAATTTTATGGTGCTCTATTCCTCTAGCCCAGACATGTCAAACTCACGACGTCACGTAATATCGTGAGACGTATCGGGACAGTTTTGCCATTGCCAGCAATGGGGTGGGCGCGGCTTCCGGATGACGCGTCCGGCCCGCGCGCCAGCAGTTTGACACCCCTGCTCTAGCCCCTCATTAGGAAATTGGGAAGAAAGTCAACCCATTGGTGAGTCATTAATTTGTAGTGTTGTAGCAATTTGAAAAGGCAATTCTCCAAATTTCTCATATAGAAAAGATGAAAGAAAAGTGAAGAAAGTAAAGCTTAATGCGATGTTTTACCTCTCCTTGGAGAAAATGTGGAGAGAAAATCAACCCTCCCAATGCCACTGCTCCTTTCTGCCACAACTCCCCGTTTGTAGATGAGGCTTAGTCAAACATGACTATGGAAAGTTAATCATAGGGCTTCCAAAAGAGAAGAAAGCAACATCAGGCTGGTTTAAGCTCCCCCTCTGTTTATGGAAGCCATCTGCATTATTATCTCTTTTTTTCTGACTAATAATATTTAAGTCCAGATGTAGTTTTTGGTTCATAGAGAAATTTAGAGAGCAGGGAGAGAGATTTACCAAACTGAATTAGGGATAATTGAGATCACATAGAATTCAAGGGTTAAAAAGAAAGAAAGAATTGTCCAAACTTTTGGGTGGGAAGCATCTTATTCTAATGTGGATGCCATTTTATTATCCTGATAGTATGAAAAGCAGATTATGTGCTCTTACCCAGCAAGGCCAGTATTGAATACAATTTCCCCAGCTGTAGAGGATGGATGCCCAAAAGAGTAGCCTCTCATCCTAGTACCATCTTCCAGCACCAAATTGGCAGTCTGTGCCTAGAAGAAAAAGTCCATTATAATCACCATTTCATTATCCATATATATGCATAATTACTTGTAAGTAATACCATTCTACTCTTTATAATTGTGTCATCTATAAGTCAGCTGAAAATGGAAGACTTTTTGTTGCTGTGTTATATTTTACAAATAGGTGAGGAAAACAGTCCTTTTATTTTAACAATAGCATATACTAGTAAAATTCAATGTAGCATATAAAATTAGTTAAGAATACAGAATTCAGCTTGAATTCCATTTTGTCGATTTTAAAACAAAAAAAAAGTCTTCCTCAGATGAAATGGAGATTTGGACAAATAAACAATAGAAATGCAGTATAATAAAGGCAACACTAAAAACAATAAAGCCTAAACAATATAACAAGGTTGTTTGTAATAGAGTAATAAATACTGTTGTTAAAATGCAGACAGTTTTGACACTTTGCAGAAAGACAATGGCTGGTGCAGGAAAGAATTGTGGGACATTGCTTGAGCCTCATCCTGGCCAATGTATATTATGCTTAATCTGAAAATTAAAAGTGTCTGTTGCAAATTTAAGATTACTGACATTAGGATCCTGTCCAACCTGGGGATAGGGTGGTAGATATAACCCAAGGGAACCCGGGAACCAAATGGGCCTATAAGAAAGATCAAATGATGAACAGAAAAGAGACATGGCAAGGCAAAGTATTGCATGCCAGTACATTTAAAAAAAACTAGCAGGCAAAGCAAACAGCAAGACCTGGCAATGGTTAAGAGTGGGAAAATTGAAGAAAGAGACAGAAGGGCTAATTCCAGCTGCACAAAGAATAAATGCATACAAAGCCAGAATTGAGAAGACAACAAAAGTCAACAAATGCCATCTCTGTAAAGAAGTTGAAGAAAAAGTGGACCACCTAGATAGCTGCTGCAAGAAGATTGCATAGACTGTTTACAAACACATCACAACAAAGTAGCAACAATAGTGTATTTTAATATCTGCAAGAAATATATTGTTTGTTGGGAGTGGTACATTTTTGTTGCTTGGACATACATATATGAGAGCCAGTATGATGTAGTGGTTGAAGTGCTGGACTAGGAGTGGAAAAGCCCAGGTTCCAGTCCCCCTTTAGGCTCAGAAGCCAGATGTTGGCTTTGGGCCAGTGACATTTACCAAGCCACGCTGGACCAGTATGGCAAATTATCGTCTATAACCTACAATAAAGAGGCTGCATTTTATAGTGAATTAATTTGGGCTGTACACATTTTGTAGTTTGCTGTTTCACTTTGCTTTTTTGGTTCATTATATTAATAGAATAAAATTTTAAAACCTGTCCACAGCTTCTTCCCTTGATATGTCCTCACATTTGTACTCATGAATCATATTTTTACTTATGAATCACATGAGTTTTTTCAATGTGATTTAGAAGGATACAATTTAAAATCTCCAGCTGGCCAAAGATGAGGCTGCCACATATTTACAACAAACACAAGGCCTTCAGGTGTTACACTGCTCGATTTTTGTTGAAATATTAGGTAATGTGTTTGACGTGTACAGTATATATCAGCTTCTAGAAAAGCTTATGTCCCACCTCATTCCCTGGCTTGACTTTCTAAAGAAAATGTTTCCAACTTCTAGCCTGAGATTTTCATCATTCAATAATATTCAGCTAATATTTATTTGGTACACACATACCTCACTTTTCCTTCAGAAACTCAAGATTACTTACATGGGAATGTCTCTTCATTTAATCCCTCCAAAAGCAAATCAGGAAGATATATATAGCTGGGAAGAGTGGCTATAGGTTAGAAACCAGGGGATTGTGAATTCTAGTTCCACCTTAGGCATGAAAGGCAGCTTGGTGACCTTGAGCCAGTCACTTTCTCTCACCCCAACCCACCTCATGCAGTTGTTGTTGTAGGGAAAATAGGAGGAGGAAGAAGTATTATGTTCATCGCCTTGAGTTATTTATAAAAATAAAGGCAGGATAAAAAAATTAATGAAAAAATAATAATTTCTTAATTTCCATGCACTCTTTGTTCTTAATCAAGGACCTGGTAAATGTGTTATCTTCTTTCTCCTTAAGTAATTAAAACATGAAATACTTATAGGCAAAATTTCATTACTACATAGAGCATTCCTGCATTTTTCTAACACAAAGAACCACATGTTGTTGTTGTTTTTGCTCTATGTGCTGTAATCGCAAAACTCTGACCAAGAATTACAAAGATCCTTTGAGAAGCAGACCAGGAACTAAAGCAGTAGATAGAATCAAGGCAAAAAAATAATAATAATCATGTGATTTTTGCATTACATTTATATTTAATTATGTATTAAAATACTGTTAATTCAATTTCTCTCCAGTTATGTATTTAATGGTTTTCCCTGTTTGTCACATTCAACACTGGAACCAAGTAGCAAACCTTGGAATTTTTCAGGGTCTGCAGCTGTCATTTTCGGAAGTCCAGCCTCAGGTTATCTGCCTTTGATCCAGTGGATCAGAAATTGGCGGTACATTTTGAGAGCTTCCATTTCAATCTGCTCACTTTCATTAACGGTGACCTTCATATGACCAGAGTGCTCCTCTATTTATACCCTCCCTTCCCTACATATGAAAATAACACAGATTTAATTTCTAAATCTTTCTTCTGAGTTAGCGGCACTATTCCCTAGAGAAAAATCCCTTTGAAATCAATAGTAGTTATTTTGAATAACTACAATCCAGATGTACAAGTGTATTATAAAATTCTGACTGGTGCCAACAAGCAAAAGGTTGCATTATTTGATCCTATTATCACATTGCCCAAAGGGCCTTGCGCAGCATCTTAGCATATTTCTAGACAAGCAAATGTTTTCATGTTTCTGATTTAGCATCATCATGATTTAAGAACAGACTTGTTTATGCAGCATTGCCGAAGCAATTATTTTTCCTTAACATACACGTGTGGACCTTACGAGTCGCTCAGTTGATATGCTGTTATGTTTTAATGTATTTGGTCTTAATTTACAAATTATTAAAAACAAATTATACTGGCTAACCGGTTTCCTATGAAAAAGAGATGGTGGTTTCCAAATGGCTAAAATGTCTTCTGCGGAATCATGTTTGCTGAACTGAGGTGCTCTTCCTTGCATATGAAATTGGCATGTGCACTAATCTTTATACTGTAGTATGGACTAAGAAAACAGTACTCTTATTACTGTTATACAATTCTATTTTTTTTTTAAAAAAAATATTACATTCTTTATAATTAATGTCAGTAATATGAATACAATACAGCACATAGGAATACGGCTGCCCATCTACAGTGGGTTTTTTCCTCTTTCCAACTGGAAAGAACCCTATGGTTATACTTAGTCTTTAGACCAAAGGTTTCTCATGCTTGACTTTAAAAAATACAGTCTAAAACCAGGGAAATCTTAAATTAATAGACTTCTGGGGCAATAGACTTTTACAGGCTATGAGTGGAAGCTAAAATAACATCAGGATAATTTTCTCTGTATTTTACAAATATTAAAAGCAAATATACTAGGAGTATAATAGCACATCTTTTTGCATGAAAATGCAGGTGAGACTTTTCCTCTTGAATCTTTTGAATCTCTTCTTCCTGTTAATAAAAATTGACTTTCTTCTGTCTAATTGGAACAGAAAAACAATAACAAATCATTATTGGTTAATTAAGGTTCCTTTAATAAGGAAACAAAGAGGAAGTATTAGAACAAATACAACCACTTTCTATGTTCTAACAATGAGTTCTGAAGTCCTACAATCAAGAACAATACAAATTGGGTAAGAGTTTCCCTCAGGTTTGTTTAAAGGAAAGTGTACAGAGACCAATGAGAATGTCCTCTTGAAGTACTGAGTAAAGTTACATATATTGGGACTGTTTAGAATAAGATGCTTCTCCCTGTCTGATTGTGTAATATTTTTTTCAAGAAAAGCATCTTAATCCTACAAATTCCCCACTAACAGGTTTTGTGTAGGCAATGGTTTGTCTCTCCTCTCCTTCCATTGAGATGGACCCCTTTAAGTTTTCTGATCCCTTTTGACTACTGTATCTCACCCTCCCATTAGTAATTGAGACCTGGCACTGCTACCTCTTTTTCCCACAGAGATTAATATTTGACAAGTGGTTCACATATGGGAAGGAGAGCTTTTTCAATGGACCCCACTTTTCAATATAAACCTTTTTCTCCCTCCTCTTCTCCTTTCCTTATGGTCTCTACTGTCCTTTTCAGATCCCTTGAGTAGGAGAAACAAGGTCAGTGCTTTACCTCTGTCATCACTATTTAGTAGCTTCTTTCCTGTTCCAGCCCTCACCCTTTCCTTATTTCACTTATTTCAAACAGGTTAACTTTAAAAACAGTTTGTTTTACTCTCTTTGGATGTTATCAAAATATTTGATAGAACACAATGCAACTTTCCAAAATGTTTGTATCTTGAAATGATATGTAGTTACCTAAATCTCCCAAGTCATCTTCTTTTAGTGCAGAGAAGAGCAACAAAGATGATCAAGGGACTGGAGGCTAAAACATATAAGGAACGGTTGCTGGAATTGGGTATGTCTAGTTTAATAAAGAGAAGGACGAGGGGGGACATGATAGCAGTGTTCCAATATCTCAAAGTTTGTCACAAAAAAGAGGAAGTCAAGCTATTCTCCAAAGCACCTGACGGCAGGACAAGAAGCAATGGATGGAAACTAATCAAGGAAAGAAGCAACCTAGAACTAAGGAGAAATTTCCTGACAGTTAGAACAATTAATCAGTGGCACAACTTGCCTCCAGAATTTGTGAATGCTCCAACACTGGAATTTTTAAAGAAGAGATTGGACAATCATTTGTTTGAAATGGTATAGGGTTTCCTGCCGAAGCAGGGGGTTGGACTAGAAGACCTCCAAGGTCCCTTCCAACTCTGTTATTCTATTCTATTCTATTCTATTCTATTCTATTCTATTCTATTCTATTCTATTCTATTCTATTCCTGCTTGGCTATAGGAACCATATTAATTGACAAAAAAGGGAGCTAA